ATTAGTGTATTTGTTATAATAACATATTTCTATTATTATAATAATAAGTATAATGTCACTGAAAAATGCTCTTGTTACAGTGCTAACAAGGGTATAGTTGCTGAATTAAAGCTTCTAGTTGAGCTAGTGTGTGTTGTGTTTATTTGGAGCCTGGCTAGGTTAGCCGTCACTAGAGAAGCTTCACTAAGAATACTTCCAATCAGGCACTATTTAAATATCTCTGATATAAACATAAGGAGGTTTGTCTATTGGGGCCTTGTTGAATCGTAACAAGGATTGTCTAAAGAATAATCATAATTTCTCATATACATATATGAGTGACTTATATAATAACTGACGCTCCGATGATGGCCAAGATACGTCGGATATTTGGTTGTCATTTATTTATCATAATTAGAAAAACACACAGAAAGCTCAGACACTGGGTATTACTGTCTACCGTTAATTAACGGTTTGCGGACGGGACTTTCAGACGTACAAGCATCCATCTAGATGAGTGATTTGAGATAGACTCGTAAACTGAGAACATCTTAGTTCGTTTAAAAAAAAAGGTCACACGATTTTACAGTGCAAAACAATTTGTTACGTGCTTGCATAGGCTTTACGAAACTTCGAATTAACTAACTTACGTTACTATTGTATATGTCATCACGAAGCCAGATCGATAAAAAAGCTTGGGCAACTTTCCACAGAGTTGCGTCGGCAAAGGCTTAAAATTGATCAAAATTATGGCAGAAATCATTATCCGAAGAGCAATAGAGCACTGATCTGATATTTGCACGTAATACTCAGAGTGTAAGAACTTCCGATCAGGAATGAGTCAAAAATGTTACAACGCCGGCTAGCCAATGATTGGTGGATTATTGGTGTCGGTTAATGGGCTAACCATTTGTACCTATTGTAACCTCTGGCAATCGTACATGGGACGTGAAGTTATTTTTGCGTCGACGTAAAGAAGGGACTCTCCAATTTGGTTAGCATTCTGCCTTTGCTTTGAAAATTAGTTGCGTAAAAGAAATGTTGACTACACCGCGATTTTCACGATTCTATGCTTTTACGACGAAGGCTGGTTAGAATGGTGAAATAGCGCAGTCGACACTCACGTTGGGTGAGACACGAAAATTTCCAATTTTCGAAATTTAGGTCACTCACGTAAAGTCTTTCTCCCTCCTGCTTACTTTTTGTCGTTATTTCTGTTATATACTTGTATGTTGTAGCGACGATATTTCCAGAGAAATCGCGTTTACAAATAAATTGATACCCAGTGGAAAAGAAAAGAAAAAGAAACAAATAAATCTACTAAGTTTTTGGGCGCTAAGTATAGAGAAAGCTGTACTACTTAACTGTTTCTAAATTTTACCATGGTTAGCTCATATGAGGCTGGGTACTAAAATAATTAACTGAGGAGGTTCACCAAAGGAACTACTAAAATCATTTCATCCAACACCGAACTATTGGACCCGAAATCCAGAGACGGATCAGATTTATTTTAAATAGGAACATAATAACAATACTACAGAATACAAGCGATCGGCATGAAAAACAGATCGAGATGGTACAGAACGCAATTTGACAACATCCGAATAATATTATATAACAATATGCCCGCTGCAATATTGCCACTAACGATACGGTACAAGAACAATACGATAATAAACGATATGCCTCACACACTCGTGTACCAGGGAGACGAAATAAGAAAGTGACAGATCGTCTGTTTATCTTTGGATTAGCTATCCTCGGACCCGTAGCGATCAGGAAAGCATAAGAGACGCGTAAGAGTACGTCGAACAGAAAAGATCGGTTGATTCCGTGAATTGAAAGATAGCCGAAATAACCCTGAGCATCACTCACCATTGTTCTGTAGCTCCTACTATCCACAGGAACACACTCTAATACGATACGATAAATAATCTAAAATCAGTACGAAACGATAAGACGCCTATCCTTGAGCTAGACCACGCTGTGAGTGACGCTAGAAATTTCCAAAATTAACCCTTTTGTTACGGCAGTCCGCTCCGCAGAGCTGACGCCACTGAACAGGGCACCGCGCCCCGAAGTGTGCACATTGCACGCCGGTAAACTGGATTTCGACGTGCTTCTTTAAGTTTTACATAACGAAATATTTGGAGACTTTGAAATTATTATAAATAATAATACAATTTAATTGAAAAACTATTCAGTAATTTAATTCAGAATGATAAATTTTAAAACAAGGGTGGACACACAGGTCGTCGCGCGGGCGTCGTCTATAGGCGACGCTCGTAGCGAAAGGGTTAAGAACCTTCCCGAGAGCGCGCCGTAATACCACCCCTTGGTCCAATCAGGTTCGCTATTACATCGGCTCCACTAGCGAGCTCATGATCTTCAATTATTCTGATAATCCCAATGAAATAGAGCCTGGCATCTTGTTATGTTAGGGTAACTGCATTGCTATTTCCGGAAGGCGGGAATCACATCCACCTCTACCCCCTTGATATTCGGCTCTGCGCCGCTTCTGCAACCTCTACATGCCCTATGATCGTGAAGACGCTCGCCGCTTGCTTTGCATAGTTGGAGACGCCAGATTGTGTTCTCCGGTCTCGACGTCACCTCTTCTCGACAGCGGTTCGCCAGGCCCGTTGTTGGCTCTTTCGGTAGAAAACTCGACTTGATAGAAATTTTGTCAAATCCTGTCGGATCCGCTTAATGAATTCAAAAAAAAACGTATGGCTATGCGAACTGTCAGTGCGCGTTTATGTGAATCAGTCACAGTGAGCTGTGCTTGGCTGTAATTTTTAGGAAAGACTCAGTGCCGTGTCGGCCATTTGGGCCCAACTTCAGTTGGTGCGTTTCTACTGTCTAACTCTGTATATGTATACTGTGAGATCCGTTTCGGTGCTATACATTTTTTTTTATAATTTCTGTATATCGCTTCAATTTTATTTGAATCTATAATTAGTTATGGGTAAAATAAAATTGAAATATTACAAAATGAAAAAACGGGACTGCTATAACAGTAACATTAAAGGATGTTCTCGTCGAACCCTGATCCAAATAGCTTGACCCAGGCCTACATACCTGTGTGATGCGTTCACATGGATTCTGAACAAGACTCGTTATGAAAGAATGCCTCAAGTTATTTTTTTTAGCTTTAATCATCCAATTAACCGCCTAAAATATATAAATCTGACAGAATATCCATTTATTGAATTCCTTAACAACTTCAGTATAAATATAACTGTCGTTATGGAATTTGAACGGTTTTGAAAAATATTTACTTAAATATTATATTCCAAGAAAATCAGTTCCACATTCATGCTAGGCATTTCTGAATGATATTAAGAAAAAGGCGATGACTTCTAAGGTTGGAATTAATGACGGACATCTGAATTTTATATATGATACAAGTCCGTGTAGAAAATTATTGAGGCAATCCAGGTAAAATATGAGTCCCTTACAGGCATTAAAATGGTTTTCAGAATGAAAGTATCCCCTGTCAGTATCTAACTAGGATCTCTTTGGGTACTATCAACGGATTTATATTAATTTAATGTGGGTTTCCCTATTAATGCTTAACTAGGCTCAAATTAAGAATTAACTGAGTATTGGAGATAAAACTATCATGGATTTTTTCAATAACGCTCACCTGGAAATTACTTAGAGTTTTAGTCCATCCATCTGGGATGTTTTTAGCGTGGTCTTAGTTTACTTAGTTTAATAAAAAAAAAAAAATGAAAAAAAAAATGAAAATAAAACATGCAAATTCCTTTTTTTTTTAATTTGGCTGCAATTATACCATTATGTCCATCATGTGTTCGATGCATTTTAATGTACATTAACAGTCTAATAAATTATCAATATCTTGCTGCCACTGGATAGGAATTAAAACCTGGCACCCCTAGTAAACTTATACTGGCCCCAGCTAGTGCCCAGAATTATTTTCTACGTGGGAGGTTGCAAATATGATGTAATCATTATTGAGGTATATTTGGATTATCATATTTATTAGCAATTCAGATGCCATAATAAATTGTTGGACAGATCTTTAAAGAGACACGTAACTTGTTACTCTCTAAGACCCGGCATCAAATGATTGCACAATGAGTATAAAACAAGTTTTAGGAAAGGAAGATGCAAATTTCGTGTTCTGAATTAATAAGCAGTTTTCACCTTTGTCCACTATGACAATCGAAAAGCTTTCGCATGTTTAAGGTCCACTTATATTCACGAACTTATTATTCTTATGTCGTTAGAATTAGTTAGAAATTAGTTACGAAGAAAAGCGCAAGCTACGCGCGCCTAGGTAGCTAGGCGTACCTACGCGCAATTGAAATAATCAGTTTTGCATACAACCCAGATGACTGTATGATAAGATTAGATATTAGTAAGAAAAAAAATCCTTGAAAGATCGCGTGTCCTTGCCCGAGGCATTTGGTCTTATTAAGATTGCGTTACTGGCTGGACGACGACACGTCACTCGCACAACCCACTCACTATTTACTAACACACTATTCGGCAACTAATCGCGCCTGATTTCTAATTGATTAGAAAAGACGCATTTTGTTCTTTCCGAATGGCAGATTGTTCACAAAGCCACGGTAATGGACCACTTACTGAACTAGTAATGTAATCCGTAAGAAAGAATACGAGATAAATAAAATATCGGGGGAATAATAAGTGAGATCACAATGGGAGTCTACGAGGCGATTCCATGTCGGTGAGGAATTTAAGAATCGTATAATGAAGTACATTCAACTTTCTCCGACAAATTCACATTATTCGAAACCAGCGATCGGAACTGGTTGCGGAGACATCCTAAATCGGATTTACCGACACATTCTAATACACAAAAGTACGTGTATGGGAATAATGGTTTATCGAGAAACATATTTGCGGTGTTGATCCCAACCATAAAGTAGTCCCGTATTCGAGGCTAGCAAACCATCTGGTGAAGGTCGCCCAGTGTGAAATCCATTTGAAAAGCGAATGTCGGGGCCTCGCGGTGCTCAGTTCATCAGCGTTTGCTATAGAAGCTGGAGGAAGAAGGTGGTCTGCGAGAAGTCGGTGATACTTAACCTCGCTATACACCTTCTCCAAGCATTTACGAGAAGTGTACCTAGGCAGCTACCTGGATATCACGACGAGTGAACGTAGAAAGACCTGTGCGTTTCTATAGTACATGTAGGTACGCGGGATTGCCATCCCGTTTGCAAGAAGTTATACCGGTTACCGATCTCAGTCAAATAGTCTCCTTGGCGTAGCTTTGCTCGCGATTTTCCCGGGATCCACAGTGCTCATCACACCTAAGACGCTCTCCAGTTAATAGTGCCAGGAGCAGCATTTGTTCACCTACGTTTTGCATTTTGTGTTAATCAATTTCTCGACCTGCGTCATACTCCGTTACTTTTGTAATTAAAGATTCACATTCGCGCGACCTTACACGTGTGTAACTTAATCGTGAACCATTTTAATCAATTTAATCTATCCAGTTCAAATGATCGAATTGTGATTACCCACAACACAAAAACAGTTCTGTACTAACAACAAAGAACAAGATGGAGAAAATACTGCTACTATCGCTGATTGCTATCCTTGTTGGATCAATACACGCAATTCCTGGCCGCCTTAATGGTATGTTCTTTCTTCTATTCTTGTTTTTCATTTTTTTTTATATTATATTATCCGTATCTACTCGACTCGGTAGCCGAGTCCGCAAGGGTGGGTTTGGCATTTGCGATTAATTGGCCTTGAGATCCGGGATCTTTGTAGGGGCTCCAATTGTTGCCTCTTAATTGGAAGAGAACGAGGCCAGACTTGAGTAGAAGAAGAATCCACCGTGAAGCAATGATAATTGTTGCCAACCCACTACACGCCCTTTATAGACATTTTGAAATTGACATAGTAAATACATCTATAGGGAGAACATACGTGATTCTTTTGACAATGTCAAGTACAACATTAATGTTCCATGTAGTAATTACGTACAGACTCTAAGTTATCATATATCATGTACTTTATTTGATAACGCTGCCTCAAGCGAAAGTTAATACTCGTTGCTCGTTTTTTTTTAAGTCAATAACTTCTAGTGCACGTAACTTGGGTGAGTTTTTATTTTCTCTTGATTACTGGTGCCAATAACCCACAAAATCATTTTTAGCTAACTATTTTAATTGCACTCTGTAAAAAACTACTCGCATATATTCATTTTGAAATAAGGTTGATTGTTATCCTAAATCATCCGCCACAGTGTTATTGTAAATACATTGTAAAATAAATTAGCCCTTGCAATTATATATTTCGTAATCTTGTTGCTCAAGTTGCATCTATGAAAGTAACGACACAATATTAGAAGCACTGAATTCGTTAATATGTAATTAAACGTCGAGGTTTAATATTCCACAGCGAACTAAAATGCGTGTTAAATAGGAGATACGATAACACTTTCTTTTTCAATACTGGTATATTTCAATTTTTCGTTTCACTAATTGACCACAGAATCTTTCGAATAAATTCCTTTGATAAGTAGCGAAATGTACTAGGTTTTACTAGCAACTGCACTATAGCGTTTTGCGCATACGATGACTAATACATGGGATATACATATTATTGCTCGTTGCAATTTCTTCAGGACTTTGGAGTATAGAATGTAGAGCGCCATGGAACACATTACTATCTGACTCGTGTATACATTCTCCCCCGTACCGTTCCTGCGGTGAACCTCTTGTCAGATTCGTTTTCCAATGTGAATGCTGCCATACATGATTCGCATTTATTTGATGATCATCTGTATATGCGAAGTACATCATCTGCATTCAAGCCAAAATACCGATTCATATTATCATCTACGTAATAACTATATAATAATAAGTAACAGCAGTAAATAACAGTTATGGAATTCTATCTCGTGCTGTTTAGTGCTATGTAGATTTCATAACCATCTTATAACTTACAATTGCTTTTAGCAAATGTGGAAGACTATATATCTATATACCATACTATCGTCTATCATCAACTCGGAACGAATGTTCAACCTGTAGTAGCCGTAAAGAGATGGGAGTAGAAAATAAATTCAACTTACAGCTGCACCGTGTAATATACCTGATGAAGCCTTCTTGAAATGGAAGGCGTCAGTAGAAATCTATCTATATTTTTTTTTGTTTTTACTCCATAGGACTTTCTTGCTTACGTTAAAAAGCAAGTGGTCGTTGATATCTTTCGACATGATGCAAAGACGGTGTCTTATATGCCACAATCGTGACGATTCGCATAATTAATATTCCATGTTGCCAAAGGCAAGACTGGATATGAATCCGGACATGTCTCTAGATAGTTCCAAAGCACAAACCATGTATTCTCGTTGCAAATAACTTTTTTCTCTTCTTCTAGTTGTAGTTACATATTTTTTCTTTTAGTTTTAACCGTCTTTCTCTTTACTCAGCAAAAGTTACCGAATGACAATCAACTTCTTGACAGTTACACTTGGTTCTGTCACAATCGTCAGGCATGATATTTTGATACAATATTTAACTTTGGACCTGCATACTTCTTTTTTAAGTGCACAAACCGTACTACATGATTCAGTGAACGCGACGCGTTTTTTTTGTACTGTTTGTGGTCTGATTATCAAATTTGAAAAAATCGGATATATTTGGAAACTGTTGACTATAACCAAGACATTCATCCAGTTTCAGAACCCATTCTGAGTTTTTACGCAAATGCAGAACTGATTAGAAACTTCTAATGTGCTCGAAAAGGAATGAGGAACAATTGGTCGGGTTTTTAATTTTTTTGGTTCAACTTAGAACAAAAATCGATTAGCTTCTGAAAATTTAAGAATCAGGCTACAAAAAAAATAGGAAGCGTGTTTCAGGATAAAAAGAAAAAGTTTCAATTTTTATGTTTATTTCAGCTTGGTTTTATTTGCGAATAATATTATGTGGAGAACTTTATTTAATGTTTCTTTTTGTACAAACAATCTATAACTTGTACGTCTCATATATAAAGAAGTAACTTAAGTTCTTCTCATAATTATTGCACAGTATTAGTACAATAATATATGCTAAGATAGAACAGTAACGTAACACAGTACCGTAAACATATGCTAAGACAGAAAATCAAAAGATATTGTGCAAAGCCATACATATAAATACTTTGTTACAAATATTTTATGCAGTGACACTAGTGCCTTTCTAGAAACTTCGTTGATTTTGATCCCTCATACAAACAGATCGAACTTGTGAGCCGGCTATATTTCATTTATGATTACACTACAAAGTAGTAAAAGTTTACAAAACTTAAAAAAGAATTATCTATCGATCGAAAAATTTACATAAAGTAAACACTCGGACCCCTCGACGTCTTTATATGTTTCTTCTTCCATTTCCGCGGGCTAACTGCAAATAGGTTATGTACTACCCTATAGTGGGGTCCCTAAACGTATTATCAATTGCGACGCCACTGCATTTCCAAGAGTTGAACAATCTTTACGTCGAAAAGACACTGGCGTGTGATCCAGTGGATCTCCCAGTGTACAGTTTGAGGGTTAATAAATTAGTAACACTAAATACTTATAGTCACTGATGAATTTGACTTCAATCAATTCCAGGTTATCAAATCAGCGAACTCATGGGTCACAAACAGTCGGATTTGTCGCAAGAGCTCGACAAAAATCGTCAACTGATTGGGATTAAAAAATCGAGCGGTTTACTTCACCACGCAATTTATAGCCATTGACCAATATTCTTGACGCAACGGACAACTCTTTATTTTACTTACGTTAAAGCATTGCGTTTCCCTCCGACCTAAATAGGAAAAATGCTGTTACGGGCAGACGAGTTTCTGGTACCGAGTCGCTATGACGTAACAAACATCACACGAATGGTATTCAGATCAGCAGGGTGGATAGCAATGATCTAATGGGCACATGCGATGGACTTCTCCCTGTCCACGTATTTAGGTACAGATATAAAGTTATCTATGTAAATAATAAATCGAAAAGAATCAAACATACCTTTATACATATTGATGGAAGAAAAGAATATATGAATTGGATTAATATTTCTCAAGATAGTCAAATTAATTAACCGATATTCGATTTAAATAATACAATTGCACTAAATTAAAACTGAAATAATCACTGTCAAGTCCATGAGTTTAATTTAAATATGTCGTTTAAACGTCTACAAAAAAATTATTTGTTCTGGTTGCACGCAACTGATACTTCTTATAGGAATAGTATGCAATGCATATCTACTCGGCTCGACAACCACAATCCAGATCAGTTGTTTTCACTTTCATTCACGGTCCATGCACATGGCATTCGGCCATGACTTAGGTGCTTCTCAAAAGAATTCAGTGCTTAACGTTCATGAATTGGTTAAATGCTTCGTCACTGTCTTTGAATGTAGACATACGATTAGAGTACAGTTAAATTATTCAGAAGAAGCGACACATTTTTATTCCTTTTTGTAAGTTTTGAGTTGGATTCATGCAAGAGTGACTTTCATTGTTAATCTTATTTCTGCGGCATTAAGTAATTCCATATAATTCCATAATGATTAATTCAAGTGTGTATATCTTTAGAGCCAATAATAGTATTACTTCATTGAAATTCCTTTATTAATATGTTAATATTGAGAGTCCTTCTTGAATAATGAGTCAACTATGATAATGACGGGAAATATACTAAATTATTCGTATGCACAACGAATGAAGACTTTCGAGTTAGGCTGCAAAGTTCGAAGTAATTTTATAGAATTGAACGTTACTGTATAATATCAGACTCAGAGACGCTTATTCATTTTTTAAGCATTTTAAGTCTCATACACATATAAATACATAATTTACTTCCCAAGAAGCTGAAATGAAAAATCCAACTTAACTAGGCTCCCGCTTTCTATATCACCAATGTCCCTCTCACGGTACTTATCTCCAGTTTGTTCATCAATACATTTTTGAGAAAGGTATGAATATATGAATGAAAACAGGGAGCTAAAGTATTGTATTTGTTTTATAGAAGCGTGAAAGAACAACATAAGGGCTACTGTATCGTTTCGATTAATAGAATAAGTTAGCCTAGGTACTTTATAATACCAATTTCGATTATGTACAGTAGACTGTCCAACAGTGGGATGCCACCCTTCTGATTCATAGGGTCACAATCCTTAAAGTAATTCGCTATAGATTATGCGATCTGTCCTTCACGGTCGTACACAATTAGACTCTAACGAGTCTATTGTTGAACCGAAATATTTTCCCTGTTTAGCGATGCATCCAAGAAAGCCTAAGACGTACATTGTCACTTCGATCACTAATTTTTAAAATAAAAGGAAAATACCGCATCAATATTGAAGATTGGTTATCAATTGATCACATACATGATTGTTACTGCAATACAGTTCTGCGATAAGTATAGTGGTTTATGGTGGCAGCTGTCACATATTGAAAAGATGAGCAAATGAGGAAAAAAAAATAAAAAAACACTAATAAGTTTTTTATTATCTTAAAGTAAACTGCAATCGTTTTGGATGTAGTTCCGAAAAGCGCAATCTTCGATAAGTATGTTTTTCTTTATTCTGACGTATTTTGACGTATTGATAACGAATATAATAGTAGAAATACCTGCAAAATTG